CATCCTGAGTTAAAATAAGTTGCGAAAAATTTACTCTGATAAGCAGGGTGTTACAGAGCCGGTCTTATTTTTGGCCTTCTTTACGCCGTGACGTTGGGCGGTTTGTGTCTCGTTGTAGGGTCTGCCAGTTATCGAAGGGGGTTGCCACGAATGCAGGTTTATACCGTCCCCTTCCTATTCCGTCGCATCCATGGCAGGCGATCAGCATGGACTTCGTGTTGGGCTTACCTCGTACTCAGCGGGGTTTTGATTCGATTTTTGTTGTGGTGGATAGATTTTCGAAGATGGCTCACTTCATTCCGTGTAAACGGACCACGGATGCTGTTCATGTGGCCCAGTTGTTTTTTCGGGAGATCTACCGCATTCATGGCCTGCCATCGGCGATTGTCTCTGATCGCGATACCCGCTTCTTGATCTATTTTTGGAGGAGTTTGTGGCGTATGGCTGACACTAGGCTCGACTTCAGCAGTGCCTATCATCCTCAGACAGATGGACAGACGGAGGTGGTGAATCGTTCCTTGGGGAACCTGCTTCGTTGTTTAGTGGGGGATAACATTCGCAGTTGGGACCAGCGCCTGAGTCAGGCAGAGTTCGCGCATAATTCGGCTCTTAGTCGTGCGACTGGTTTCCCTCCTTTTATGGTTGTGTACGGCTTTATTCCGCGTGGGCCGTCCGGCTTGATGACATTGCCGTCTGGCAACAGTGGCGATCGGCGTGCGTCGGATTTCATTGCCGATGTGCAGAACACGCACGAGGCTGCCCGGGCCCGTTTGGAGGCGACTACGGCTTCTTATAAGAAGCATGCTGATACTCGTCGTCGCCACGTGGAGTTCGAGGTCGGTGATTTTGTTTGGGCTGTCTTGACGAAGGATAGGTTTTCTGCTCATGAGTATAATAAGTTGTCGGCTCGCAAAATTGGTCCGGTTGAGGTTGTCGAGAAGATCAATCCCAACGCCTACCGTCTGAGGCTCCCGTCGCATATTCGCACCTTCGACGTTTTTAACGTCAAACATTTGGTGCCGTTCGAGGGTGACAACTCGGACGAAGACGAGGCCCATTTGGATTCGAGGGCGAATCCTCTTCAACCCGGGGAGGATGATGGAGACGAGGCCGCTTTGGCGTTTCTGCAGAAATATGACCGTTTTCGGGCTTAGACTATTTATTTCCCGGTTTTATCAGTTATCAGTTTATTAGTTATTATGGTTTTTACTTATGTTATTTTATTATTGGAGCAGTTAATTAAGTAATTAGGCAGTTGAAGAGTAGTGGGCTCTTCCTATATGTACCCACTCCCTGAACAGTTATTATTCATTATCGTATTATTATTCTAAAAAGAAAACTGAAATCGGTTCTTGCGTTCTATTTTCCCTTTCGATATCATCCTCTACATCACAAAGTTTGACCCTTATATGTCTCTAGCCTTTTCAAGTATTTTTGATTTCTTAACAACTGTACCTTTTTTTTTTCTTCTTATTTTCCCTATTTCTATTTTTGAATAATTTCATATCCAAATCCACTATTTATGGATATAGATTATGGATTTTTTGTTGTTGGATTATATACATATTTAATGTGTGTTAATCCAACATGTGATATATTCAACAAAATAAGTATAATATATAAATTTGAAAATTCATTAACCCTAAAATTTACTTTTTTAATGCTAGATTATACCTACTCGACCACACAGTAATATATGTTGATCCAACATATTATAAACGATTCGACAAAATGAATATAATGTGTAGGAATATATAAATTTCAGAATTCATATTAACCCTGAAAATTACTTTTTTGTCGTTGGATTACACACACAGCAACATTAATGTCTGTTGAACCAACATAGGATATACGATGCAATAAGATGAGTAAAATATGTCGAACATATAATTTTCAATATTCATTGACCCTAAAACTTGAATCGGATTAGGGCGCCAATTTGATTAAGATTGTCGTGCCCTGCATCATGTCGTATATTATATTTCATACAAATATAATTAACAATATTATTTTGTTAAGAAAAAAAATATATATATATTTTATTCAATGTATAACTTGATTTCAAATTTAGTGCCATTAAATTTTCTAAAAGAAATTTGAGGTGGAGTAATTGAAGTGTTGAATGATTTATGGTAGATTTGATCTAGTGATAGATGTTTTGGGCCCAGAAAATAACTTTAATCTGTGGTCAGATAAGCTTTGGGCTTGCAGAATTTCATGTGCTGCTCTACTGGCATTGGGTTGTTTTTGTACTTCTTCATTTTTCATTTATTTTTATTGTTTTTTGCCTTAATAAAGATTCTCATTTTTTTTTTTTTTTGTTTTGTTAGAAATTTCAATTTAATCCAACCAAGTTGATTTCAATATATAGATTTTTTTTTGCCTTATTTAAATTATTTCAAATTTCTTTTTAGAATTTTCAATTTCAATATATTTATTTGAAAGGTCATTGAGTCGACCGAGTCGCATAATGAACCAGAAATGCTGCGGAGCTATCAAATGGTTCTTTTATGGAGTCATCCATATTCTATGTATTGACACGCGTTCAATGTGTATTTATTGCAAGACACGTGTCAATATACCATTTATGGATAACTATGGAGCAAGTCGAGCCATCCGATGACTCCATAGCAAAACCGCATAATGAACTTTTGGCTCTACTTGAGAAAATGACAATGAATATAACAACAACTCCCACCTAAATAAAAAATTGAGAAATATTATTTACATGATATTTTATTTATTGTAATTTCAAAAAGAGAATCATTTTTAGATGCATAAAACAAAGTACTTTTTGACTAGAGAGAGCTAAATCTACTTAAACAGTACACTCTAAAGGAGAAGAAAAAAAAAAAAGATATATACTCCTCTCATCTTCAATGTCAAAGTAGTCTTTGTGCATGAAAGTAAACTTTAAATATATAATATTAAACCTAGCTACAATATAAGATAAAAAATTATTTCTTATCTCTCATTCATTCATACAAAAAAGTAAAACCTAATACTAGGAGTGATCTCCTATGCATTACACTTGGATGATATTATGAAATTATATTTTCTTAAAAAAATATATATATTTATACTGTAAAATATCATAATTTTATTTATATTGCTTTTTATAATGTGATATATTTGATTATGATAGTATATAACTTTGCTGAAAAAATATAATTTTTTATACTTTTGCCCGTGGATAAAGGAAAATCGTTTCCACGTTAAAAAAATAGAGTGAACGTGTAACTACAACCATTTATTATTATTATTATTATTATTATTATTATTATTATTATTATTATTATTATTATTATTATTATTATTATTATTATGCTTTATAACTTACCTTGTAGGTTTCTTAGACAATAGTTCCTTTTCTATTAAAATATCCAATATCTAGTAGTTTGAAAAGATTAAAAAAAAATTAATAAAAAAATCCTACCGTGTTGAAATTTTCAAATTTTTTGATTAATCATAACATATTTGAATTTAAAACACAACTATATGCTAGTAATAGGATGGGTTTGCCTTTTAGCAAAATGAAAAATTTATGTGGCTCCCATATGCCCTTGAGCTTAGGATTCTTACTAATAGGTTGGACCCATAATAATAGCCATTAAAAAAAATGGGGGTAATTTATGTCATGGACACGTGTGCATGATGCATCAATAACTCAAAATAAATATATAAGTGATAAATAATTTAACGGTTTTGCTATAGAATTATTTGGATTGTTCGACTTATAGAGTCATCCATAATTATCCACAAATGTTATATTGACACGTATTATGTAATAAATACACGTTGGATACGTGTCAATACATAAAGTTATGGACGACTTTATTAAGAAGTCATCTAATGACTCCATAAAATTACTGAATAATAGAATTAATAAGTGATGAACTTATAAATATTCATCCCAACATAGTTGCATACTTGCATATGGATGTTGCCAAAATGATAATGCAAAATGAAGATATGGAAAATAACAACCACTTACTATTTAAGTGACTATATATTGATGAGTATGAAAAGATCATATTCATCATATGTAACTTTTGTGATGGGCTTGAATATAACTTACACATAATGCATATACTAGTTATGAACAATAGATATTCAAATCATGAATGGTGAATATTCAAATCACTAATAAAGAATATAGAAGTTAATATTTGTTACATATGAATTTATAATTATGATAATGTCTACAATGAAGACCGTGATTAGAGTTAATTAAAAGAAAAGAGTTGCTCATGTATTTGACTCGGTAATTTGATAAAAAAAAAAAAAGCGCATAGGCGAAATCAGCTCAATTCAGCAAAACTCATTAGACTCGAGAATTGAGTTTGTAGATATCTGAGTTAGCCCATAATAAACCGAAAACTTAACCCCTCAAGACCCGGGCTGAAGACCCGGTCTGATACCAGAGTGCCGAGCTGAACCGAAGATTAAAAGTATGCAGAACCGCCGTGGGAATGCTTCCCTAGACCGATAGCTGGCTCAGTCCGGACAGAGGCCGACCCGGGAGAGTGCCGGGCAGAAAGTAGGCTACTACTGGCCGTCTCCTGAACACGTTCGAGGAAAGTGCCGACCTGAAGATCCGGGGTGGCCGACCAGAAGGAAAGGGCGTGACTTAATGAACATTAAAATATTCCCACTTGGAAAACCATCATTGGATGATGGGACAAGTTATAATAGCCTGGTACCCTACAAGCAAGCCTAGTCAAGAAAACCTACCAGCATTAAATGCCCCCCATGCTGGCATTTAATGTCTGACAAGTAATGATTGAAAAAACCTCAAATCGCATTAAATAGATATTAGAGAGACCCCGAACTGCTCTGCAAGATCACTGTACGACAAGACCGATCAACAGTACCTGAACAATACTACATTTGAGGACACTATAAATAGCAGCTCATTTCATTTATTTTGGGTTGTTGAATCTCAATTAACTCTGTCTTCTCTCTACTTTCTCTCTCTAGAAACTGTAAGAAACTCATTGTAAGAATTGTAAGTATATCACAAGTGCCGACCTCGTACGAGAGGCCGACCTCGTGATCGCCTAATAAAATCGTAATTAAGCTATATCTTTTCTTCGCTTCCAGTCTCTTATTTCCAACATTTACTATTTTAACCGTTGATCGAAAACGCTCGTCAACAGAGTTTTTTACGTAATTCCTTAAAAATTAATTATCGTAGCTCGACTCGAGTTGATAAATGCTCCAAACTCAAGCTGTTTATAGCTCTTATATATGCCAATTCTCAAAAGTGAGCAACCCTTTTTACAAGTGCATAATGAAGTAGGATTATTATTAACTCAAAACTGCTCGGCCCAATAGTATAAATCTTTGAGCCCACAATGTTTCCTTATTAGGATTTGGGCTATGAATAAAGTCCAATGAACGTATTGGGCCTAATCTAGTGTTTTTAAAAAAAGTTGAAAAAATGAAAAGAGAATAACGCCGTCTGTGGGGATCGAACCCACGACCACGTGGTTAAAAGCCACGCGCTCTACCGCTGAGCTAAGACGGCTTTGTTTTATACCGATTAAGTATAAACTATTAGTCCTTTTTTTTGTCGAGCAGCTAAAAATCAACACTGAGAAAAAGAAAAAAGAAAAAAAAAAGAAAGGAAATTAGAACACCCAAAGTCCCTGCAAATCAATCCAAACAATTGAAAAAAAATTCGATCTTTTGATATGGGCCGGATTGCAGTTGCGTCGGCCGTCGTACTATGGCTGATTCCGATCTCTATTCTCGTTAATCAAATCGTTCCCAGCCCGTACATGGTAAACCCTTTTTCTATCTCTTTGATTTTATCTATTTTTTGACGAATTTAAGGTAGATTCCTGTATAGATTTCTGAAAATTTTGATCTTTTTTGCTCGCGAATCTTTTATATTTTTTTAATTATTTTTCCTAATTTCTCCCTTTTACCGTTGACAATGGTGGAAATGCAGGACGAGATATTCCACGTGCCGCAGGCGCAGCAGTATTGCCGAGGGAATTTTAGAAGCTGGGATCCAATGATCACCACCCCACCTGGGCTGTGAGTTTTTTTTTTTTTTTTGTTTAATATAATTAAATGCTTTTATCAGTGGACTGTGTGAAGCTTGAGAGGTTCTTGGCCAGTTATTGCATTTCTAGTCTTACTTAAATTGAGTGACTCTGTGTTGCTTTACCTAGCAGGAACTAAGATTTAATAAGCTGGGTGTTCTGTGGTAGCTTTCTGTAATTGTAGTGCTTGTTCGGTCCGAGTAGTATAGCTGATAGCCGATAATGGGCAGTTGATAGTTGATTCCAAATTGTCGTTTTTGACAAGTTATTGCATTTCCTACTCATACCTGAATCGAGTGATTTTTAGGTTGCTTTAACTAGCTGGAAACTAAGATTTTTAAGCTGGATGTTTTGTGATTGCTTACTTTAATCATAGTGTTTGCTTGGTCGATGATGACTGTGTGAAGCTGATAATTTATACCTGCCAGGTAGTCTAGCTGATATCGTATAATGGGTAGTTGGTAATTGATTCTAGTTTATTATTTAGTGAATTAACTGATTAGAATAGCTAATGAAAGGTTACTGTACCGGTTACAGAATGACACAAAGATGTAAAAGTAATGCAGTCTGACAGAGAAATTTTCTTTCTTTGATAAGCTATGTTAAGTTTGTAAGAAATCTCTTCTTTCTTATTTCCTTGAAATGGAGATATATAAAAAAAGCATTCCATTTTAGTTTCATAATTAAGAAATTTAGATGATAAAAGACCACCCCCATGGGGATGGTCTACGGGGTTCATAACTACTCCTCTTACTACAGGACGCTTACCTAGCCAACGCTTGGATCCGGCTCTTTCCTTTCCACTATTAAGAAATTTTTGAGCCCCTCCATCAACTGTCGTATTAGGAAAATCGCCTCCATGGTGGACCTTCCAGGCATAAACCCAAAGGAGAAGTGGGAGGAGAGCATTAGTTAAAGAGTTCCTTGCTCCCGTGAATACTACACAGTATACATAACAAATAAAGAAGCCGAAGGGCTGTTCTATTTGTCTGAAGCGGATGACCGGATGAGCAGTCATGAGGGCAGGCAGGTGAGATACCAGGTTCGGGGAAAGGATAGGTAGTTAGAGTTAGATCCCTTGCTTTTCGGAATAACTATGACAAAGGACAATACCTGTCCATTTCCTGTTGTGGACTGGGTTGTCAGGAAGTGAGCCCGAAAGGGGCGTCCAGACTATGATCGGGAACTTATTAAACAAAGGGACCTTTCGAATGTTGGTCTGATGAAGCTCTTCGTTCTTTGATTTGGTTGAAAGCAGCCTATCTGCCCCGACAGTTGTTTTTAGTCCTTATCCCTGTTAAGTATCAACTGTGAGCTCCAGCTCCAGAGTCTTTACGTTTAACATCATAAGGAACTTGTCGTTGTTAATTAAGCTAATAGCTTGCCAGTTCATTCTACCAACCAATAAGTGTGTACTTGAATCTGAATAACTATCATGTGAAAGGTAGATAATGGGACTTCTATCTGTACTCTATCATCAGTTCTGGTCTATTATGGATATGAAGTCATTGTATAGTAGGAAAAAACTGAAAATGTGTTATTGTAGGACTGACCTGAGATGGTTATAGATGATGAGATAAAACCCATTGAGCAGGACTTTTCTTCGCTAGATTCAGTTTGTTCACTTTTCAAGCAAAAGAAAGTTGATTTTATGCAATTCGACCCCTTTTTGCAGGTACTTTCTTTCACTTGCATATCTTGCTTCTTTGTTTCCAGGCTTATTCTTCATGGGGGCAGTTTCGTCTTTTCCAGACTCGTGCTCCACTTCAGTTCTTCGTCTCACAAATGGGGTTCTGGCCGTTTTATGTAGCATTCTTGTTTATGAGATACTCGTGCATCTTAGACCGTCTCTCGATGAAAAAAAGGCAACATTTCAAGCTGTGATTCTTTCTTTATATCCTCTACACTGGTTCTTCACTTTTCTGTACTATACAGATGTGGCATCACTAACGGCTGTGCTCGGAATGTATCTTTTAGCTCTCAAGAAGAAGTATCTGCTGAGCTCGATGGTGAGAAATTGTGTTAAATTTCATGTAAATAATGTTAAAAAATTAGTAAAAAAATTGTATTAAACCCTCTAAATGCAACCCAAATATTATTTCTTTTTGTTTTCTAGTTTTTGTGCTTTTTTTTCTTTTCTTTCTCAGGTTTAAGTTCCTTTGGGTTTTCTGTAGAGGCTTCTTCAGTCTTTTACGGTTTATTTTTATTTATTTGGTTCTTTAGGGGATGCCTGTGTATAAAATATTTTTGATTTTGTTTGTTTTTTTTGGTTTGGAATTGTTAATTTTGGAAAAAATGGTATGATTAGTTGTTGGAATTTTGAGTTTATTTTAGACTAATGTTTTAAATAAAATAATTAAAGTTGATTTGATGTAAAAGTATAAAGATAAGATATGAAGTGATGGTTAGTTAAAATTATGTGAGTGGATGAATAGTGCATTAAAGTTGATGTGATGTGTAAGGATAATTGATTGATATTATTTAATTATATTGATAATATTGATGATAGGTTGAGTTAAAAGATGATAGTATGGTTGAGTTAAACTGAGTTAAAAAAATTGTTGGATTAAAAAAATTTAGATTTTGTCTAGATTTCTTGTATCCAAGCAAGCTCTTAGTCTCTGGCTCTGTTTTTTTCTCGTATAATTTTATTTTTCAATTCTATTAAATTTTTTTCATTTTACGTGTAGCTTGGGGCTTTATCTGTGTTGATACGGCAAACAAATATTATATGGATGCTTTTTGTCGCCTGCACTAGCATCATACAATTTGCCGAGTCCCATGAGAAAGGTGGTGGGGAATTAAAGGATTTGGGCACATCAACAAAAAACGATGATCTTTCTTCGTATCGAAATAATGTATCAGTGGCCACTAACTTGAGAAAGAGAAGGGGTAATAAGGTCATTACGAGTCGCGAAAGCTTTACTCCACAAACATCTGCTCCCATGGCGCACTCATCAGGTCATACCCCATTTTTTGTACGATTGTATATTGTCTTCTTAAGTATTATTCAGTATATGATAAAGGAGATGGAATTAAAATTGCATGTGCCCGCTAGCAAAAAAAGATCAAATATGCTAGGGCTGTATATAAAATTTTCATTGGAAGCAAACTCAAAAGAAAGCAATTGCCACCGGAAAAAAAAAAAAAAGAAACAAACTTTCTTGCGGTTTTATTTTTTTACCGTGTTTCATTTTTTTTGTTTTGTGTGCAGGTTTGCTTGACGAGATTTTGGACATCATAGTCATCTCGTGGAACCATTTCTGGGAGATTTTAGTTTTCTTGAGTCCTTTCTTTATGGTATTTGTGGCTTTTCTCGGTTTTGTGTTCTGGAACGGGAGTATAGTTCTCGGTATTTTTTACTTCTGTTTATATTTTTTATCCTTATTTACTTCCAGCACCACAAAAAACATTTATTGTTTACTTTTGACGAGCTGAAATGAAATTAACCGGCTAGATTTTATTTGGATATCAGGTGCTAAAGATGCACATGGAGTTTCACCCCATTTCCCTCAGTTGCTGTATTTTGGATTGATTTCTGCCGTTTTTACGGCCCCTGTCCAGTTTAAAAAGTTGTTAAAGAGGAAACTATTTGGTCCCGTCCAGTTGCTCGTGGCTTTAGCATTTGGCTTCCTTTCCGTGCAATTTTTCAGGTTTCATCATCATAGAGATTCGGGAGTTTACTACTTGCCAAAACTGAATACGATTATTTTTTTTCTTTGATTAATTTCTGCGTGTAGTAAACGAGCTAAACCATCATCAACATATGTATAGTGAAGTCGAATTTTTGCATAGTTGCAGAAAAAAAAAAAATGAGCTGACCATCTCAACATTGCAGTACTGCTATTAAAATGTCATTTTTTTCCTGAAAAGTTGCATATGCACAAGAAAATTTCGAAGCTTCCCTCTCTTCCCTTTTCACGGCGAATAAATTAGCTAGGTTTTATTTTGTAATTAAGTTAATTAGATCTCAGGGTTATTCTCAAAATTTCTTGATAAATGAAACTGAATGAGAAAATTCATATTTTAATTCACAAAACTCGGTGAATTAATTTGGATTTTCATTCATTTTCCTATATAGTAATAATCTGTTTTTTATCGACTCTTTGCAGCATAGCCCATCCGTATCTGCTGGCCGATAACCGACACTACACTTTCTACTTGTGGCGAAAGGTCATCAATTACCATTGGTCGACAAAATACCTAATGATCCCACTTTATGTCTACTCGTGGTTTTCCATTGTCGATAACCTGGGTTAGTACAAAAAAACCTACCTCCCTTAAAAAAAGATCGGTTTTTTTTTTTATGCATACCATTTTCATTTGCAGCTAAAAATCGAAAAAAAAACCCATCTCCCCTTACATTTACGTGTTTTCTTTACAAAAAAAATCGGTTTTGTTTATGCATACTATTTTCATTTGCAGCTAAAAATCAGAAAAAAGCCCATCTCCCTTTACATTTACGTGTTTTCTGTACAAAAAGGATCATTTTTTTTCTTTAATGCATATTATTTTCATTTGCAGCTAAAAATCAGAGAAAGCTCTGGGTATTGGCGTATTTTTTCGCATGTGCTGCATCACTTGTTCCTGCACCATTGATCGAGTTCAGATATTACACGATCCCTTTTTTCTTCCTTGTTCTTCACTCAAATGTTACGGACAGCTGGAGCTTGGTTTTTACCGGGATCTTTTACCTTGCCGTAAATTGCTTCACGATGTTTATGTTCTTGTTTCGGCCTTTCTTCTGGAAGCACGAAAGCGGGACCCAACGGTTCATATGGTAGTAACTAATAACAGGACCTTTTTCAGAAATATGGGTTGCAAATGTAACAGATAAAACTAACTAACCCCCATCATTTTATTTTATTTTACTTTTTTATTATTTTCATTGTCTTTTTGACTAAATTCTTGTTATTTTAGCAGATTTTTCAGGCAAGCACATCAAATTTGCTTGCTTTTATTGTGTGATAACTTGCAAATCACTTTAGACATTATAATTTGCTGGTAATATATATGTACCAAAATGTAAAAAAATAAAAAATAAAATAAAAAATCATGGAGATTGGATTTATATTAGGTAATAATTGCTTAATTGATCAAAGCAAAGCCCCAGTGGTACCAATGGGGCTAACATAAATATTTCACAAAGCCCATTTATTTAGTCTTGTAGTGGCAAGTCCAGTGAAACTTTAAGAATTTATCTGAACAATGCAAACGTTTTTGTGTTGAGCCCATCATTAAATAACAACCATTTTTATATGTTTACTTTTATACTTTTTTTTGAAATTTATTGTAAAAGTAAGACAAAGAAATAATATTATACACAAACTATTCATAAATGGGTCATAAACTAAAAAGTAATTCAACTTTATGCAACTAAAAGAAATTATTTTGTGAATGAAAAAAAGAATGAACGTAAGGGTGTATTCCTTTGAGATTTCTAAAGATTTTAAGATTTTAAAAATCTTAGTGTATTTAGTTTAGACTTTTAAAAGTTTTTGAGTTATTCAGGTGAGATTTAAAAATTCTTACAAAATCCTGAGTTATTTAACTTATTTGATACTTAAATTTGTTAAGACTTTATGATTTACTTGGATTAAAAAAAAAACATATATGAGATTCGACTCTAAATCTGCAAATCTTAAAAAAGTCTCATAATGTATCTCATAAGTTCAAATGAATGTAAATCCTGAAAAAGTCAATTCAATTTTTAAAGTGATTAAAAGAAAAGAAAAAGTTCTACAAGGTCTTTATAATTTCTGATATGCAAATAATATGGCCAGTTTAATTATGTAAGAACTCAGCAAGGCGCTGGCATTGATGTTCTAGAGTTATGGAAAGCAATGTAACACGTTCAACAAACTGCCCGTCTAGCTCAGTCGGTAGAGCGCAAGGCTCTTAACCTTGTGGTCGTGGGTTCGAGCCCCACGGTGGGCGTTGTTCTTTTTCATTTTCCTTTTTTTTTAAAAAAAAAAATCTTTTCCCT